GCACGCAGCAAGTGAACTCTGTGCGTTGGGGAGTCATCCAACTGGTACTTGTGTCTTTTAAAGTAAAACAATGACAACTATATATTTTTAAATTACATATTTTTAATTTTATGTGTATGAGTGTATTGCCTGCATGCATGTAAGTACACCTGTGTCATGCAATGCCCACAGATGTCAGAAGGTGTCAGAGCCTATGAAACTGCATTGTGGGTGCCAGGAGTCAAACCCAGGTCCTCTGCAAGAGCAGCCAGTGCTCTTAACTGCTGAGCCATCTCTCCATCCCTGACAACTTTATTTATAAAGAAAAAATAGTAATAGACACTAATTTCATCATGTTGCCCACTACCTGTTTGGGTCCACATGGGGTAAAGCCACTAACCGGGAGTTGTAAACTCCGATGCTCAAATGGCCAGACCCGTGACAAAGGGGGAAACAGGCATGGAGCCTGGGGCAGGATGAAATGCTTCAGGCCGGCACATTGTAAGGACCGGTGGGTGTCCTTACAATGTTCAGTTAGTCAAGAAAAGCTGGAAATGGGGACGTTTCATGAAATTTACAGCTCAGCAGATATTTGCTAAATGCTATCGGGGTGGGGGGATGAATAGCATGTTTTCTTGTTTTCAGAGGGATGACTGGTACACTGTCCTGAGGATTTAGACCTCAGCAGGCAAAGCCCCTTTGCTGTCTCCGAGCTGGCCTCTGTGAATGTCTGTGCTCTTCCTACTTCACTTGAGGCACTACGTTCATTTCAGTAGAAAGACGGGAATTCTTCTTTAGAAAAACTTCTCCTACAACTTGGAAAGTATTTTTTTTTCTACAGTCATCTTCCTTATTTAAAAACTTCTTGCAGAAAGACAGATGAAATGCCTTCAGTGTGGCGCTGCAGATGAAGAATGAATATGGGCGAGTTGGGAGTTTAATATTTAATAACATTTATATATGACATTTGGAGAAACTTGACAAATAGGGAACACTGTGTTAAACAAGGCTCTGGCATCGCCACCGCTGATCAAATAATGAATGTTCTCGATACATAAGTTGAGAGACAATTTATTATACAAACACACACAGCACTAGACAGTGCATATGTAGGTATGATGAGGGATGCTTTGTTTATCTAGCTTTCATCTGCTTCTCTTGTGTGGGGCTCTGTGTTAGAACGGAAACACCAACAGATGGAAGGGCTGCCTGCTTCTACAAAGAACTGCATTATCTAAACCCTACTGCTGAACAGTAGGCTGTCACAGTTGGGCACGGTGTGCTGGTCCAAAGTTCTCAGCCAATTTGACTTCATTTTCAGAGCTCTGCTGAGTACTATTCCCATTCAGGGAAGGGCGACAAAGGGCAGCGACTTAAAGGAAGCACAGCACTTAGGAGGCGGGCAGTGGTACATGACCGACCTGCCCGAAGGAGGGATATCAGGGCATGGCGTTGTTGACCACGAGGCCTTCTAGCTCCTTGCCACCGTCTTTATTGCTTAGTCACACATCACAACGTTTGCAGCAGGCCTGCTGGATGGGCTTTTTCTACCTGCTGAAACTCACAACTTTTCAAAGCCAATGAAAGAATCAAAGAACCAGCTCTCATTTGCTGCTCACTCTTTGCTGACGCTCAGTGCCACATCTCATTTCGGTTGCCTTGACAACCCCTTTGTCAATCAGGAAACTATTGAGAGGGTGGAGCGTCCCTCACATAAGTGCTTTACAACTTAATAATGGAATCACCAGGTAGTTTCCGTGTACCTTGTGTGTGCCCGAACGTACTGGCTTGACGTTTTTCCTTTCTCTGTTCTAGTAGCATGAGAATGCCTGGAGGCTTGGACACACAGATGCCTTCCTGTATCTATGTTTCTTACGTAAAATAATGCTAGGCGTACAGTGGATGCTTAACAGATACTGATGTTCTGTGTAACGCCTCGTCTGGAGCTCACTGTGTTGCTGAGGCCAGAGTTGAACTTGAAATGGCCCTCGTGCCCCTGTTTTAATTTATTCTACTTTGTGCTCGGTAGGTCTGTGGCCGGTACAACAGAAGACCGATCTGCTGTTTTTGTTGTTGTTGTTTTATTTTATTTTGTTTGAGACCGAGTCTCAGGTAGCTCAAGCCAGCCTCAAACTTATTATGTGAACGAAGTTGGCTTTGAACTCCTATTTCACAACCAGGGTGCTAGAATTCTAGGAATGAGACCCACACCCAGCTGTGCCATCTGCTCCTGAGGAGCAGAACTCTAGGCAAGAAAACCCTGACCTGACTCTATGATTTAGAGGTCACTGGTGGCCTTTCATCCTCCACTGCATTGCAAGGAATCTGTGAAACTGAAAGCTATCTACCCCTTCTTCTAGATAGTGTTCCCAGAATTCCAAGTCCTGGGGTCCCCTGCCCAGAGAGTCCTAAGCCTGTGACTCTTCAGGGGCTGTGCAGGTATCATTCTAGGAGCTGACACTTGAGGACACCACAGGGCTCAGACACATACTCCTCACTGTGGGGTAGTTGCTTGGAGGGTGGACGGACAGTAGATGGATCTTGAGCTATAGCCTGGGAATGAATGGATGAGGCTCCTGGGTGTGGGATGGAGCAGAGGGGGAAGTGCTCTGCGACTGCCATATTATATCCAGGAATTCCAGGGAATCCCAGGATCCCCAATTCAAGGCTGGAGCTGCTAAGTGTTACGGAGCATCCTTTGTCCAGGTTGAGGGACAGGGCTCCTTCATTTAAGAGTCTGTCAAGTTGACTGGCACTCTTAACTTTCAGGCCTGGAGGACGTGGGCCTTCATTTTGAACTCTTGTTCATAATGCTATGCATGTTCATCGAGGCAGGCCTGCAAGTGGCTTTGGCCAGCTCCGCAGGGCTGTTCATCCCCTGGGGAAGTGGCTGAGCTTCTGGGTAAACTTTCTTTGAAACTACCGGAGGCAGTCGTACATGCTGTTTTGCTTGGGACTACTAGGGAAGTGCTAACATGTCTCTATTAACAAACACCTTGACGCCTTATTTCCTTACTTAAAATACTTTAGACAGAGCATTTTACTTCAGCTGAGTGGCTCTGCACCCACCAATACAGAATCAGCTGACAGCAATTTCAAAAGTGCAGGTCTCACTGTTGATGGAAAAAATGGAGGCATCATCATTCCTCGTGTGTAATTTCCACCCAGAAATGGAGGCGTGGATTTAATGTCAACACTTAGAGATTTAACGTGGTTCTATTACTGGAAAAACATACCTTTAGCCAAATCTGGACAATGGCCACAGTGTCCCTCCCACCCCCATCTCCCATTCCTGAGCAAAGGTCAAGTTTTGAGCAGGACTGGACCCTACTTTGTCCCTCGGTACCTGGGCCTGCCTGGGTCAGCAGGGAACCTCACTCTGCTCAGGATGCTTGCTGTTGGGGAGCATGAGCTGGGCAGGGTGCTCAGCTGTGGTCTTCAACCCAGCAGGAAAGGAAGTTGCTGTCCCTAGCATCTGGTCACTGTGGGCACCCTGCCTGATTCCCCTCACCACCCCAAGAAAGGCTCTATGGCACGTGCTTCTAAAGAAAAGAGATTCAATTTGATTTTATTGTGAAAATGAAGAGAGGATGCTAGGCCACCCTTTGAGGTGGCTAATTGGCCATACTCCACGGGACTCATAGAGACAAGACTTACTGGAAAAGTGCCTTTGGTCCCATGCGTTTCCTTGAGTTCTTAATATTTTTTCATCAACTCATGTTTAGTTGCATCAATGAATTAAGCATATGGTTTTAACTTCTTCCCATTCAACTAGTAGTCTCCTTTCCTCTCTGGAGAATGAACCCTGGTTGGGCTGTACTCACTCAAAAGAACCTGAATCAAATGTTTATTGCTGTAGAGAACACCCCCCCCCGCCCATTGCTGACCATAAACAGAAGTGATCGATCATTTCAGATAATTTCCCTGCACAATAAGACTTTCCCAAGGCCAACTCCGTTCTCAGCTGCCCTGCAAGGTAGTGGCGATGGCTCCTGAGGACCACCAACTTCCCCTGCTCATGTTTTTCTCTTGGAAGGAAGCCTCACCCAGAGGCCAGGTTGTATCTCTAATAACTGTAACTGCATTGCTCTATTTCCCCAGTGCCAGCTGTGAGGCCTGCTGCATGTGCTGTCCATCTGGGAGTTCAGTTAGTAGTGCAGTTGCTGAGGACAGCCTCGGGTATGGAAGCACAGAAAGTCTTACAGGTACCAGGGCTCGAGAACCAGTACTAGTGCCAGGACTGAGACCAGTATGTGGATCAAGGTAGATCTCCCAGGAAGGATGGGTTCCAGGCAGGAGACTGTGGTAGTCGATGTGTGAAACTCGGGTAGTTCATGTGTGTGCATGCGTGCGTGCGTGTGTGTGTGCGTGCGTGTGTAGGCCAGAGGTGAATCTCAAGTGTTATTCTTTAGGAACTATACACTCTTTTCTATGAGACAGGGTCTCTCACTGGCTTGGTACTCACCAACTAGGCGAGGCCACCTGGCCAGCAAGCCCCAGGGATCCTCCTGTCTCCACCGCCCTAGCACCAGGATTACAAAGGCATGCCACAGCACACTGCTTTTTTACGTGAGTTTTGGGGTTTTAACTCCTGTCTTTGTGTTTGCACAGCAAGCACTGTATTAACTGAGGCATCTCTCCAGCCCTTCAAGTGGTCCTTAATCTTGTCTTCACTCTCCTGGGGCTGGGGTAGGCTAGAGGCTCAGGATGGGCTCCCAGAAGCTGCTCTGGAGAAACTAGGCCTTTTTGATCTGGAAAAGGCAAAAGCCCTACAGTGTGTCAGGAGGGCTGTGGAGCCTGGGGCATGTGGGCTTTCTTGCAGACCAACTTCTGTGCTTCAGCGAGACCGAGGGTGAGCCCACGTGTGTGTGCTTACCGTGCGTGTGTGACCGCCACCACGGCCAGCTTCCTCCCCGGTCCTCCTCTCTGTCATTCTAGCCCCTCAGCCCATCCAGGACATCTCTGAAGTCCACCTGGTAGTGACTGAGCACACTCCCTTGACCTCTCTCTGTGCCCTGCAGACAGACTGTGCCCTACGGACTGTCCAGCTACAGAAGAAGCCTGCGGGGCAAGAGGTCCTCAGGGTCATTTCCAGGAAGCCCTCAGGCATTGCCACAGACAAACCTGCGCTGTGCTTGTGTGGGGGCAGATGACAAGGCCTGTGTACGTTTCTGCACACGAACTGCAGATGTCAGCAGGTATGATGCCCTTACAGGCCCTCCTCACTGCTAGACACCAGTCATTGATGGGCAAGGCCAGGCCAGGGCATCTCAAAGGTGGGTGTGGGGTGGCTCAGTCAGGTCTTGAGGACAGAAAAAGGAAGATCTTAAGTCAGAACCTGGAGGGCAGTGGTCTGTCCTCAGTCAGCCTTGCCCTTCTGAACAGAGGCCAAGTCTGCCATACCCTGTGGTTCTTTGTACAAATCAGAATAGGCTGGCAACTTTTAAAGACTGAAGACCCTCCCCCTTCATGCATACTTTCAGTTTCTTTGCAAACAGCAATCAGGACTTCCGCTGCCTAGTTTTCCAAATGGATCTCATAGGACTCCTTGAACTGGGTCACCCATTTGGTTTCTCTGTGGTCCCTGGAGCCCCTCCCTGCGTTGAGACCCTGTGGTGTGCTCTAGACACCCAGAGAAGCAAGGCAATCTGTTGAGTGGCAGCTGCTGAACTTGCCCCAGCGACACTTGTCCCAGGAACGTTCGCTCTTCTTTCCTCTTTCCCATCAAGCGAGCTGGGCAGCGTGGCCCGTCAGCAGCATGACCTAAGGGCCGAACAGTATTGTGGATAGGATGCCTGTGTCACTCGTGGGCTGTCTGAACAGGGCGAGCCTGAAGCAAAGCAGTTCCCACAGTCATGCGGCTGGGCCCTGCCTTCTGGAAAACCCAGTGCTCCTTGGTTGCATTTTTGTTCTCCCAGCTGGGCTTCCAAACATCTGAGGAGTGACTGAGGCGTGTGTGTGGTACTCACACATCTGCCCAACGAGCACTCAGGCCTGTAATTGGTGCCTGGGGCCCTTGGGGGAGTACATTGATGTGCTTGGTGGTGGGGAAGAGAGAAGCAGAACTTGATACAAAAACCCCAGCCACATAGAAATGCAGGCTGATTCCTGAATCTGCTCTCTCCCCACAGTGATTCCAGGAGAGCAGGAAGACCAGTTGCAGAAGAGAAAGAGGAGGCTGGAAGCCGGAGTCCAAGGTGAAGATGGGTGCATTCCTTCAGGGACAAAGGGTGTGTGGAGAGGTGGTGTGCCTGGTCTCAGGAAGTGGCCACTTGGATGCCAGAGTCCATAAGGGCTTCCCACCCACACAGTGAAGCCCTTTGGTCTGTGGGCACAGGGTGTGTATAGTCATCGTCAGCTACCTTGCCCTGGGCAAGTCCTCTGCCCCCTTGGAGCCCACCTTGTGTCCCTCGAAGCTCCAGGGTGGTGCTATCCACCATGGATCTCACTGGGCTGGTAAAGCCGGCTGCCTGCCATTCTCAGAGCTCCCGAGGCCGAGCTGACCTGGCCCATCTTGGCCTCTGTTTCTGTAACTGTGTGACCCCACCCCCCATCAGTCTTCCTTTCAAGTGGCTGATTCTGAGCAGAGGCGGGGTACATAGCATGGGCAGCAAAGCCCCCTGACTCCTCAGTTCATTTTTTAAATTGTTTCTATGTGTGATCCCAAGGGCTTCCTGCGTCTAAGCTGGCCTATTTGTCATTCTATCAATCAGAAACCATTATTAATGACTCAGCTGCACATCTGCAATGGGATGGTAATTTATGTTCATAATAATAGCCCCGGAGGTGGCTTTGGTTCCTACAGGGACTGATCAAGGGAAGATTAAACCAAACGCAGCATACAAGAACTTTCCAGATCAGGTGAGATCACTTCCAGGGGTCCAGACAAAACGGAGGAAAGTCAGAGGTAACAGCGAGGTCCGGGAGAGAGAGTTTCAGGTCCCCACTGGTCAGTAAAGTACCCACCTGGCCTCCTCTTCATGCTTTTCCCTCCTTCTAGCTTTTTCCAACCCCAACCAAACTTCTCTCCATGAGGACAGGATGTGAGTAAAGCTCTCCATCCATTGTATCATTTGTTCTTTGACTCATGCAATCTTTCAGCAAAGATCTGTTGTGCACCTGCTGTGCGCTAGATGTGCAGGGAACGAGGCAAAGGGTCTCGGGAGCTTACGCAGCAGACAGATGCATATGGTACAGAGTAAGGTGAGCAGAGGAAAACAGGACAGTAGCTCAGGGAAAGCAAGTACTAGGGTGGCTGTGATCTGTGATTGGGACGGGAGCCATCTCACCAACCGGGTGACCTTGGCACAGTAAGCAAGGCAGTGAGATATAGGGATGAGTGGAGGAAGTGTTTCAGGCAGCAGGGAAGGGAAGTGCAAAGGTCCTGGGGCTGGTTCAAAGCACAGCCAGCAAGGGAGCCTTGTGCGGAAACACACACACACACACACACACACACACACACACACATATGCCTGCCTTTGCTGCCACCACTGCTGCTATTATTATTATTATTATAAAAACTGACCAAAACCAACTAGGGTAAGAAAGGGTTTATTTTATCCTTCATGTCCCAGGTCACAGTTCATCACTAAGGGAGTCCAAGGTAGGAACTCAGGGCAGGAACCTGGAGGCAGGAGCTGGACCACAGGCCATGGAGGAACGCTGCCTACTGGCTTGCTCCCCTGGCCCCTGCCCAGCCTCTTTTCTTATACAATACAGAATGACCTGCCCACAACTGGCACCACCCACAGTGGGCTGGGCCCTCTCATATCACTCAACAATCAAGAAGATGCCCCACAGACATGGTCACAGGCCAGTCCAATGGAGGAAATTCCCCAATTGAGGCTCCCTCTAACCAGGTGTGTCAAGTTGACACTGATGCTATCCATCATAATGTCACAGGCTCAAAAGATACCTAGATGCTGAGATGGCTCAGTCAGAAAAGTACTTGTTTTGTAAGCATGAAGACCTGAGTTCAGTTCCTAGCACCCACATACAAAGTTGGGTGTGGGGTGCGTCTCTAGTTCAGTGCTGAGGAAGCAGAGGGGGGCAGATCCCTCGGGCTCGCTGGCCAGCCAGTCTAGCCTAAGCCGAACCCCGAATCCCAGTGAGAGACCGGGTTTCAAAAAACAAGGTGGACGGGCCCTGAGGAGCGATACCTGAGGTTACCCTCTGGCCTCGACTCATGTGCATACACATGCATGTGCACCCCCCCACCCATACATATATCCACACCCATGTAAAGAGGAAATTGAGATGGGTGGTATGTGTCTCACTGGGGTTTGGGAAAGTGGCTTTCCAGAACTCATAAGCATTCTTTGGGAGGAAAAAGTCTTTGATTAAGTCAGTCCTCTGCTTTCCTGCAAGTTTTGAGTTAGTGATGGCCAGAGTCACGTCCACAGAGTGGCAGCTGATGCCCTCCTTAGCTTGTGACCAACAAAGTCTAAAGGAGCCAGCAGAAGCCCAGTGACCACGCTTTCTTTTCTAACCCTCCTACTCAGTCTCTGAACTTGCTGAGCTGCAGGGTGAGGGTCCTCCCAGGCTGGCGACCATCAGATGTGGGACCAGAAGCCCCTTCTTCAGCGTCAGAGAGCCGCATGCTCTCATAACCCCTTCTCTTTTCTTTTGTCCTCCTTCCTGGAGACAGGTTGAAGTCACGGGTGGACAAAGCCCGTGGGCCTTAGGCTGCCACGCCGTGCTTGCTCCTGTGCTGGACCTCCCTCGCCTCGCTCTGTTAGCCAGCCATCTGCCTTCTGGGAAGAGCCGTTGTACACACACAGTTCAAATTTCCACCTCTTTGAGGACAAGGAGTGAATTGTCCTGGGGCAAAAAAACCCTACACACCCAAAGAGCCCCGCTTAACGGTGCACCCCTACTCTAAGAATACCTAAGTCCAAATGACCCTAGTTTTCCTAATGGGTAAAATAATCCCAGATGTGCCCCAGGGGCCAGATGCCTGAGGCTCCAGTTTCACGCAGGAAATTGTGTTTGGAGAGGCATGGTAAGTCAGAAAGCCACTTACTAGCTTTGACACGACTCCTCTCCAAGGAAGTAAGTGGACACCAGGCTGGCTCTTTGCAAAAGTAAACATGTGTCCATCTCCTAGGAGTATGCAAAGTCCGTGCAAGCTGCACCGTCCTTGCAAGTTAGTGAGGGTTCAATGCACCCACCCGAGGCTGGGGTCATCACTGTACAGTAGTTTATGCATTTGAAGCTTATAAGATGTAGAAACTTTCGGCTGTGCTTGGTGCTTATCAAGAGTGGATCTCTAAAAGAAGAAGAAGAAAAGGAGAAAATGGATGCTTGCGGGTTTGAGCGTGCAACAGAGCTGTGGGTTCTACGGATACCGGCGTCCCTGTAGACACCAGGCCAGTGCGCAGCCGAGCTCCCCAGCCTGACTTGCAGGAACCCTTGAAGACAGCCCCAGCTCAAGGCTGTCAGTATGAACATCTGCTTTCATGCACAAATGTGGATCTTTGGGGAGTGGCTTCTTCGAAATAAGCTGAAAACACAAACTCTGTAAATTATGTAAATTCCTGTTTATCTACATAATTGGCAACAACTGGGAATTGTAGCTCCTGACGGTTCAGAATCTCTTGCAGCTGCGCTTTTTTTCTGGCGTGTCGGGTTTACGGTGAGTGTGGGGGGCTGCGAGTTGGCTGTAAGGTCCTCTCTGCAGGCCCCACTGGGGACGGGCTGCCCACCTCCCCGACAGACCTCAGAGTCATGAGAACCTGCCTTTGAGTGTGCGCCAAGGGCACCATGTGGAGAAACTTTAGATGGTGTGTGGAGTGTGAGCCTTGACCAGATGTTAAACTTTGGAGGAAGCTCTCCCAAGTTATTGCAGGTGGTAAACTGCCTGTCTATCAGGAGGAAGTGAGAGGGATGGTCTGCTGGTGGGATGTACAATTCAGAGCCGTGATTATTTATTGGGGAACTATTCTCTACTTCGACTCCTTTATGAGATCTGTTAAAAGTGAAGTCACTATATATAGAGAGATAGATAGATAGATGATTTTAAATTGCATTTGGAATCCAAGCTCATATTCCTTAGAGCTTGAATTACATTTTTTAAAGTGCATATGCACTGTTTGACACAGTGGCGAGATTATATCTCAAAGACAAATCCATTCATCGTGCGAACTCAGAAGATAAGGCAGATGCATAATAAAAACATTCATAAGTTTTTAAAAAAAATCTAAAAGTTTGCTGTGATTTGTGGGCTTTTCCTTGTTCTTGTTACAGGCATAGTTGTTCATCCATTCTTTGTAGGTCTCTGGAGAGGAGAGGTAGTTAGAGTTCTGGAAGCAGAATCCATTGAAAGGGAATTATGGGGTAAGATAAGGGTGCCGGGATACCAAGGAAGGAGGGGGATTTGGGGACCATTGAGAGGAGGAAGCACCGAGGCAGGTGGAAGAGGAAGGCTTACAGAGTTGTCACCTTCACTGGGGCCCCTCCCCTTCCCCTGGGACCCCCCTCCCCTTTCCCTGGGACCTTCCCCTTCTCCTGGGGCCCCTCCCCTTCCCCTGGGACCCCCTCCCCTTCCCCTGAGACCCCCTCCCCTTCCCCTGGGGCCCCTCCCCTCCCCCTGGGACCCTTCCCCTTCTCCTGGGGCCCCTCCCCTTCCCCTGGGGCCCCTCCCCTTCATATGGAAACAACCACAGAGGGGCTGCTCACAGTACCTGAGAATTATGGACAGAAAAGACTACAGTAGCAAAGCCATATAGGACATGAAAGCTGGAAGGGGGGCTGTTTGATACAAGAAAGGGACATAGCAGGAGGGGAGGGGCAAGAGAGGATAAGGGGGTGAATGTGGTCACAGTATGTGACAGACTTAATGCAATGAAACCCATCACTTTACATCATCCATGCTAATAAAACTTTAGATGCTAAAGCATCTATGGGGATTGAGTTTCTCTCTCTCTCTCTCTCTCTCTCTCTCTCTCTCTCTCTCTCTCTCTCTCTGTTTCCCTGCCCACTTTTGATTCCACTCCACTCTCCGAGACCGTCAGAGGAAGAGACTTGAACAAAGAAAGACAAAGACCCAGAAAAGATCAAGAAATCCAGTATTCTAAGTAGGTTGGATCACTATCTAATCTGAAAAAACCCAAGAGCCTCTGGTTTTAATTAAACTCATTTTAGAGAGTTTTTGACTCTGATGAATTGAGGGAGTTGGGGGCGCTAATTTATTCAGCAGGATGTGGAGTAGTGCACAGCAGGGTCCATCGTGTTCCTGGGAGGTGCTGATGGGGCCTGGCATCCCTGCAGCCCTTGGAGAGCAGGCAGAGGCCAAGAGCTAGCAGGCCAGGAGGTCCAGGAGCTTAGTGCCAGCAGCTTGGTACTGGATAGGGTAGGCTTTCCTGGCCTCTGGAGGAGCAGTAGCGGGGCCATTCACAGTGTGATAGGCTTGGCTGCAAACCCACAAGGCCTCAGGTCCTAAGGATGAAGGATTTCAAGATCACAACAGCAGAGAGTAAAACAAAGCGTCGTTCTCTGAAGACGTCCCTTGATGGCTTTCAAGGGAGCCAGCAGAGCAGGCTGTTGGGTCTGGATATCTGGTGTGATACCAGTCCCCAAACAGGACTCTCCTTAAACTCCTTCAGTCTCAATTCACTCATTTCCAAATGGCTCAAGAGAGCATCTCAAGGCTTCACGTCTTCAGACTTTTCCCTGGGCTGGGCTTCATCTCCTGTAGCTTTGTTTCATTTTATTTTTTAATGAGTGAATATGCGTGTGTGTGTGTGTGTGTGTGTGTGTGTGTGTGAACATGTATGTGTAGGTGAGTTTGTGCACGTGGGTGCCTGTGTCTGTGGAGATCAGAAGTCAATGCTGGGTATCTTTTTAATCACTTCTACCTTATATTTTGAGACAGGATTTCTCATTGAACCTGGAGCTCACCAGTTTGACTACAGCTGGCCAGCAAGCTCAGGCTTCTGTCTCTGCCTCTGTGGTGGCAGATATGTACCTCCATGTCTGGTCTTCTATGTGTGCTGGGGATTTGAACTCAGGCCCTCATACTTGTGTAAAGGCAGGTACTTTACCCTTTGAGCCAGCTGCCTAGCTCTTCCTGGGCTTTTAGTTGTGGTGGTGGTTTTGTTTTTTTAAACTAAAGTTTCTCATGGAAGCATACCTTTGAGTTAGAATATACCTTAAAGTAAGAGAATTACTTTGGGTTTTTAGACATTGTCAGGATCATCAATTTTTCCCCCTTCATAACACGGAAGTTCTCCAAATCCCCAAAATTCTTGTATGTGGATTCTTAAGTATCTTACAGCTTAAGCAAATCAAGGTACCTGTTGTTCAGAACATTATAAATCCAACCGGGCCTCTCTGTCACTGAATATGCAATTTCTTTTTTCCTTGCTGACAGGAATGTTGGGATCTGAATGATATTTCATACAGAGAAATTGCAAAACTTAGTGACTGCCAGGGGCTGGAAGGAATGAACACAAGAGCCCTTCTGCTAGGTGTGCCTTATAAATCCTCAAGCATTCCAGAACACGGTACTAAGTAAACAGAAGCCGGGCTGATAAACAAAAGAGGCAGAGGCATAGGCAGTAGACAAAAAAAATCCTGCGGGGCGGGCGCAGAATTGCCCCTGTCCCTGCCTTCCCCTTTCCCCTCCTCATCTCTCCCTTCCCTTCCTCCATCTTTACTTGAGCTGACTTCCATCACAAAGCTGCCGTAGGCAACCCCCTGCTTATCTGCATGGATGGCAGGAACCACCAGGATCAAGTTCGGCTCTAGGGTTGGCCAACCTTCAATGACACATGTAGGGAACCAACATCCTCTACAACATCATCACCCCGCATGGCTTTATATTGGGAACAAGGATCTCCTGCCTTCTCCTCCACTCTGAATGGCATGCCGAATGCCCCCTTTGGCTATTTTGGGTTTTGCTCCCATTTTATTTGTGTGAGGGGGTGTGTTTTGTATGGGTACAGGTTCGTGTGCTTGTGTTCATATGTGTACAGAGGCTTCCAATTTGTTTATTTGTTTGTTTTTGAAACAGGGTCTCACTGTGTGGTACTGGATGGTCTGGGACTCGGTTTGTAGACCAAGCTGATCTTGAACTCAGTAATCCACTTGCCTCTGCCTCCTGAGTGCCTGAATGAAAGGTGTGCACCACCACATCTGGCCTCCATGTTGTCTTTTGAGACAGTGTCTCTCACTGTCCCCCGAGCTTGCTGATTAGGCAGGGCTGAATGGCCAGTGGACTTCAGGACCTGTCTGTCTCCTCCTCCCCATCACTCAGATTACAAGTACATGCCAGCACAACATTTTTTAAAACATGGGTTCTGGGAGATCAATCTCAGGTCCTCACGCCTGCCTAGCAAGCACTTTTCTGGCTCAGCTATCTCTCCAGTCCTTACCTTGGTTTTGAAGGTAGTAAATGGGCCTGGAAACAGGGAAAGAGGAGAGGTAAGTATCTACCCACATGTCCAGCACCCTATAAACTCAGAATAGAGTGAGATGAAATGGAGTCTGTCAAAAGAAGAAGTCTTGGCCCAGTCTGAGGACAAGGGGACCTCTTGCAGTTGGTGAGGTAATAGCCAACCTCATCAACCTCATCAGCCTGGGAAGGGGCTTCCTAGGAGAAGGGTGGAGGCTGTGCAAAGGCTTGAAGAAAAATGGGGCACTGGGCCTTGTAGGGGTCGGTGAGAGGCAGGGTATGTGACAGAGGGTATTAAGAGACAGATGGGGGGTATATGATGGGAGAAAAGCAAGAAATCCAAGCTGATCCTGTGACCTTTGAATCATCCCTGGCATGCAAAGTTTGAACAGTTCACTGTGTGAAAGACAAGAGAGTCACAGGGTGAGCTGACTTGTGTTGAGATGGGTTCTCTGTCTTGCTCTTTCTAGACACACCTCTAGAGCAGGTCTGTCTTCTTCCAGGTACCATCTGTCAAGAAAAGCAGAGGCCACAGGGCAGAACCCCTCTGAAAGCTCTGGTCTTCTAAGTGCAGGGTCCAGGCTGTCTTGTGCTGTGCTACAGCTGCCCCTCACCTGCATGGATGCCAGTTTCACAAGCATACATACATGTGCACAGCTAGTCTCAAAATGTCACTACTGCACTGTTGTAGTTTGAATATGAAATAGTCCCCGCAGGTCCATGTGTTTGGACACTTGGTCCCCAGCTGGTGGTGCTGTTTAAGGAGGTTGTGGAACCTTTAAAGGGTGGGGTTTAGTTGGAGGAAGTCAGTCCCTAGGGGGGCGGGACTTGAGGTTTCATAGTCTAGCTTCCTGTCTGGTCTCTGTTTCCTGGTCCATGAGAAAATGAGGATTCTCAGCCACACATTCCACTATTGTGAATGTCATGTGCTTTCCCACTCATGATGGGCTACGTAGCCTCAAGCAACTTCTCCCTCTCACATTGCATGTTGTTAAGTATTGGGTCACAGCTATGAGAAAAGACACTAATACTTGGACTGTTGGTGTTGGTAAATGTTTTACTGCTTTTGTTTGTATCAAATATTCTTGGCATTGTGGGTCACGAAGTGTCTAGAAACTCCTCTGCCTCCAGCACATGCAGTCATAGCCAGGATGTGAACGGATGGGCCTGGTCATGTCCTACTGTACCGGGCTTACCTGTGTCAGTGGGCCAGGTGGCTGGTGGGCTGATCGAGCCCCTCACAAGTAGATGAGTTCTGCATCTTTGTCTACCTGGTATAGCCTTATTTTGAAATGTGTGGGTGATAGTTTGGCTGGGGATAGAATTTTAGATTGACAGCAGATCTCTCTCCACTGTTAGAAGATGCTATTCAATTCCTTTCTGAACTTACTTAGAATCTGTAAGACCAACTGTTCTACCTTTGTAAGCAATTTCTTTTCTTTCTGTGTCTTTAATGTTTTTCTTTTTATTCTTGAATCTCTGCAGTAGAAAGTAGTCAGACTGAACTTTCCCCATTCTGTTTATACCAATAAGAACTTGGAATAATTTTCAGTGGAGGGGAGCCCTCCCTTCTATGTCTGGGAGACGTTTTACTCTGCCAAAATCAGTGTTCTGCTCTATCAGAACCCACTAGTTGAGTCTCACTTAAAGTGGACGTTTTTTCCATCTTTCTGTGTTCATCTGCTCTTTTCCTTGATCTCAGTATAAAAAATTGAGGCTGAAGAGATGGTTCAGTGGTTAAGAGCATTCTG